ATTATATAGTTCTAAAAGAAATTTCTATTTGACCTCTTTGTCACAAAAACATACTTCTTTGTATAATGATTGTTATGTAAATGCAGTTGTCATCGTAATTTACAATTATTGATCTGTCTAAGTGTTATTTTTTCAATAAATGTAAATATCTTGTTTGGTAAACAAAGGATGTAATTGAATCTGTAAGTTAAGACAAGTATGCGAAAACTACAGTTTTCCATTAGCTCAAGCCTAAATTATATTGTATGTAATCTAGCTTGTTATATTTCGTTATTTTGTCACGTAAAAACATTTAAATTATGTATGATGTATAAATATAAAAAAATTTAACAACAAATCCATTTGAAAGTAAAGTTTAGACATTGGTACGGTCGACATTGGTACATTATCATTGGCGAAAATGCTCATGCACATTAACATTATTGCGGCTATGTGTTTAAGTTGTAACATGGTTTAGCTTCGTATAGAAATTTGAGAAAATAATTTTTATTTTATTTTTTGTTGTAATGATTTGAAATTAAAGTTTTACATTTACAATAGTCAAGAGTAGCCTGCAGTAGCAAGACTTCTTGATAAGAAAGCTCTGGAAGCTTCCTTATCACCTGGTCCAGTGCATGTGCTGCCCAGAGTAGGGGTAGAAGGTTCCAGAACTGAGATATCTTATATAAGGGAGCTGCTTCCATGTGGGGTTGTTAGTTCAAGAGTGTAGATGTACAGTGTCCAGACCTGGGGTGAATTTTCTGCAGCCTACTCAATGAGTAGTAAGTTTATTTTATTTTTTTATGTTATTTTAATTCATTCACTTTTATCCCTCCCTCTCTGCTAATTATTGTAATAACAAGAAAGACCATGGATGTTTTCTTATTAGATATTTAACTTTTCTTTCAATTAGTAAAAGATGTAAATATAAAATGCACCTTTTTTATTCTTTTAGAATTTATTTAATAGAGTTAAATTTGGATCTAAAAATAATAAATGCTAATTAAAGTAAAGTTTTTAAAGTTTCTAGAAAAGTTTAGCAATTGTAAATTTTATTTCATTCAGGAAGAAATTAATGTAACCTAATTTAATTTCGAAGGATTTTAATTCAATTGTTTAGCTTTTCAATTTAAAGAAGTTTGAAACATTAAAGAGATGTGTATTTGTATTGTAGACAGATGTGAGCGTAGCGAACGAACTTCAACCAGGACGTGATTGAGCCATGCAAACGAGATCAGATAGTAAAAATAAAAGTAAGCCTACCGTTATAGGATCGACCGGCAGACACAGAGGTAATTTAACCTTTTATTGATTGTCATACCGATCCGGAACAACAAAAAACAACATAAAATGAAGCTATGTATAATAGTTTGGCCAGCATATCTTAAAATATGCAAACCAACTGCTGTTCGTTATATAAGAAGGTTTCAACTGAATATTATAAGATCCCCGTGCGTAGAACGGGTACACAGCTAGTAACTCCTAAAATAGCTCCTGTAATACCGGTACTTGATAATTGCTTGATTTCTAGCAACGAGTACACAAGTTAAAAATTCAACAATGCATTAACATAACAAGCTCTCTTTCACGCTGCAAGACTAGTAAACGGCAGAAGTAAGGCAGAACGGCAGAACTGCGGTATTGGTTTACCATACACGCCTGCAACGATGCGCTGCAAACCGCGCGACGAGTAGCTAAATGAACCGTAGAGTAAGTGAGCCTTCTAATATTTGTAGAGGGTTCACTTACTCTACAGATCATTGTGCCAATGAACTGTAGAGTAAGTGAGCCGTCTTCTATTTGTGTAATAGTTATCATGAAATAGGCTCGTATAGTATACGAGCCTACTCCTGTAATTTATTTAAATTCAGTATTTTGGCTCGTATACTATACGAGCTTATTCCTGAATTATTCAAGAATTCATACGCTTGGCTCATAGGCACTATGATCTGTAGAGTAAGTGAACCCTCTTCATTTATTTGATATTTTTGATAGGCTCGTATAGTATACGAGCCTGTAGTGCAAGTGAACCTTCAATATTATTTACGAAGCTCGTATAGACTATGATTTGTAGAGTAAGTGAGCCATGTGTTTTAAGAATTACATATTTGGAGGCTCATTGTGTCAATGATTCGTAGAGTAAGTGAACCCTAACCATAAGATGTGAGATAAGAATCTTGCTTTGGACCGTTTCCTTAAAAAAAAGTTGTAAAAAAGCAAGTAAAAAGGCCAAAGCAGGTGTAGACACAAAAATACAAAATTAAATGATAAAATTTTGAATTCTGTACAATATTAATCAAAATTCTAAATCGAGGGATGAAGGAATTAAGGCTATTCCTTTTTCTTTCCATGCTTCTTTTTAGCAAATTTTCCTATCTATCTATCTATCTAGGCCTATATACAGGGTGTCCCGGAACTCTCTACCAATATTTTAGGGCATTGCTCCTGGGTAAGAAACATAACTAAATATCATATTTAAACTGCCCGGAAGCCCTTAGTTACTCACACAGCCACCATTTTGTTTTTTCAGTTATTAATTTATTTCTAAAGAATGGTTAAACATACGAAATGGAAACTTTGCATAAAACATTTATGACAACTAGACAAAGCTACCAAAAAATTATCACAATTATTCAAATTCATAAAACAAAATGGCGACCATTTAAAATTTTGTTTCTTAAATAACTCAAAAACCATTGATTTTACAGAAATATTAAATGGACGCCATTTTGTTTTATGAATTTGAAAAATCGTGATAATTTTTTGGTAGCTTTGTCTAGTTGTCATAAATGTTTGTGCAAAGTTTCCATTTCGTATGTTTAACCATTCTTTAGAAAAAAATTAATAACTGAAAAAACAAAATGGCGGCTGTGTGAGTAACCAAGGACTTCCTGACAATTTAAATATGATATTTAGGTATGTTTCTTACCCAGGAGCAATGCCCTAAAATATTGGTAGATAGTTCCGGGACACCCTGTATAAAGGAAGAACCGTAGGTGGCATCATGGTGGAGGGAGGTGGCATCATGGTGGAAGGAGGTGGCATGTTGAATGGGTGACCTAGGCCCGGGACGAATACTCTTTAACACGTTTTTATTTGCTATATCACTTTCTTGTTCGGTACAAATTTTGCAATTGATTTTAAACTAACTTCCGATGAGCTAGAGACTTAAAACGTGAAACATAGCTCACAAATGGATGACAATGCAATATAAAATCATTTTATTTTCATATTATCCTTGGGCTATGCCCTATTGGCTTCCAAATTTTCAACGTTTACATATTGTAAGAATGAACAGTAAATATAGTCAAATACTGTATTGAATTTCTCGCACGGGAACGACCACACTCATCCGGTAAACACTAGTAACGGACTAGTAACGTAAGGGAATATGTTTTATCTATGGTAATATACCGGACACCAAAACAGCTGGTTGTACTGCATGTTATGGGAATGAGTGGTTATAAACAAAAACATAAAGGTTATGACTAGTGATTGTTAGTACTTTAGTCGGTGGTAATATATAAGGATTTGTACAGATTTAGTAGTATGGCGTAAAATATCGTGCGTCACTCGTCCAAAATGTGTTTACTGGACTCGTATGGTTATTGATGGTAACCCCGTATGAGAAATTTGCAAAAAAGTAGAAAATAATTTATAAATATGCAGAGAGAATAAATACTTGTAAGATTTAAAACGAAAAACGCTGGGCGCATGCGATAGCGTGGGGCCATGCTGCAACCCCTAGGTCTAGCCTGAACTAATGAGAAAAACAATTCCAGGCTCGTGCTTAGTGTCCTAAGACAAAAAATATATATCTATTGACAATACTGGTTTGTGATTTCAAAGAATTTAAAGAATCTGAAGAATTTTTCAGTACAGGTCATAATAAATCAGTACCATTGACTATACACAGAAGTTCGCATGGGTGAGGCAGTTTGTGAAATTTGGAGATTATGAAACGCTCCCAGTTCGCATCTGTGTTTAGTCAATGGTATTACCTTTCCTCTCAATATTATTGTCAATTAGTGTAAGTGCTCCTTGGGAATATTAGTCTGCAGGTTTGCTGCGGCAGGGGTAGGGGGTAGGGTATATTAAATGGACATATACTTGTCACATATATGTAAAGATCAGCTATCAGTTTTGGTGCTCATACTGTCACGTTCATGTAGGTAGTACAATGATAGTATCAAAGATTAAAGGGAGTGGTTTACTCTTTTTTAATCTGTCTTTACTCTCTTTAATTTATGCTTGTATACATGTGTTATGCAATGTGTCACTGGATTCTACCCAAATTGCCAATGTCCTTGATTAAAAAACCAACCTTGAGTTAAAGAACCAAAGTAAAGTTCAGCGAGGAACTTTACTCATATCCTGATGCACCCAAGTATGGCAGCTGTATCGGAAAAATGTAATCTAATGGTGTTCCTGTGATATGTAAAAGGAAAATCTTCGATTATTGGTTGAGTGGTAACAAATGGATCTACTTACCAAGAGATTTTGTTAAATTGTCAGGAGATTTGATTAAACTTTTGTTTTAGTAATGATTTTAATCATCCAAAAATAAAAAATTCAATATCATAAACAAACTTGTATCGATTTAAAATATTTTTAGTATGATTACTTTCTAATTGCCTTATTTAAGTCCATTTTTGAAATGGCTTAATTGTTGTTAAGTTGACTTCATTCACATTTATACTTTGTTGCCAAAATTATACTTTGTGAAACCTTACGGAAACATATTTCAACAAATATTAATACATTATTAAAGATTAAGTTCTACACATGATTTACTCAATTTGATATCTTATTAAGATAACACAGATTTATGAATATTTTGTGTTAAGTAACTTTAAACAACTTGTAATTTACAAAAAAGAGACCATGTTAAATAAAAATTTTATCTTTGGAATTTCCAATAATTTTTGAACTCTTGTGATGATGATCAATTAAATTGTAATTATAGATATAAGTTAGCATTTTGATAACAATTGGTCGTCCATTTGTTCTGAAGTGTTTGCCCCTGGTTCATCATCATGGGGAATATTCCAATATCAGGTATGCTAATTTTATAAAAGAATCTTAAAATTTGATAAACTAATCATTATAACCTTAGTTAAAATAAAAATATTGTTTGTTCAGGTATATTCGTCAATTATTTGTAAAAAAGAAGCAAAATATGCCTACAACCATGATTTCAATACTTAAAAAAATGGCATTCTTATATCCTATTTAAACATTATCGGTAATCAAAACCTTATTTTTATTTGATCAATAACAAAAATAGAAGTAGGACCTACCAACCACCAAAAAAGAAACATTTTCTTACAGGATAAAAACATAATAAGAGCTACCGGTACCAAAAAGTATTGTTCATGCATAATCAGCCTTATGAATACATTTAATTGCAGTGATTATTTATTTAAAAGAAAGCGGAGGGTTTGAACTGTTTAATGTTGATTCTACAAAATTGCAAAATTATTAAACTCACTAACTTTCTAGTAAAATAACTTCACTAGGATAAATGCCTATTGGATTACTGATTTGTTTCAAATCATTTTATATTTTTTAAGGTCATAAAAATCTTCCGGTGACCTACTACTGCATGCCAGAAAGTGCCGGTGCCTCGCAATCGGTTGTGGATCCAGTGATCAACCCCTTAGACTTCCAGAAACAAGAAGTTTCTAAACCAAGTGATGCCTTTGGAAACAACTACTATCAAAATGAGATAGGAGGTAATGGACTAACATATGTGCAAAGGTGTGAGGGGATGGAGACAAAAAGACACCAATTGTGTGAACTGAAAATTAATCAAAAAGAAGAAAAAACCTCCTTAAAAATGTTTTCTAGATATGCTCATGTTTATGAGCTGATTGTGAAAATTACACTGATTATGAAAGAAAATAATAAAGAAAAGAATGGGAGAAATTAAACAAGCGAATTAAAATCTTTAAAAATTAAAGAAATTTGTGTAGCAATATTTTTGTGATATAATGTTCATAACAATACACAAACCGAGGACAGATATTTTTGCTATTCATTATTAAATTAATAAAAGGTTTCATCTCTTTATCCATATTATTCGTCTTGATTAATTAAAATTGTTCACAAAGATTGTAGAAACAAACAAGTATTGTAAAATCCTGGCTTTTAGACTGTCTAAAAATGCATTTTGAAGCATTTCATACAAGTTAAACATTTTCTGCACATAAGGGTTTTTTCGGATCTTGGAACAAGATATCGGTTTGCCCCCATGAAAATATTTTCCGTGGTACCCTTGACTAAAAGTATAACTGGTGTACAAATAAAAATAAAATATTTTTTGTTAACTATTGTAATTAAACAATATTTTCAGAAAATGTAAAAATTGATGAGCCATTTAAGCCAGCTACCCAAAGAAGTGAATTTTCCTTTGCTGAACCTTTCAAATCATCATCTGAGGGTCCAACAGTTTCAAAAGGTAGGTAACTTGGAGTTAATTTTCCTCTACCCTATGTTACATAACAATATTTAATTTTTACTGTTTTAGTTATTACCAATCTAATTTTAAGTTAGGTAGCATATATCACAAATTGAAAACATGTTAACAAAGTAAAATAATTTCAAACAAAAGGTTAGAATACTTACTAGGACTGTTTGTTACGAGTTCAATGACGGCAACCAGGATATTACAAAAAAATTCTTCTTCCTTTTGTGTGTTCGAATTTGACAGTGTTACAAGTGTCATTATGCTTATGGAACTTGTTTTTAAATGTAGTTCAAAGATACAGTTTTCATATGAAGCATAATACAACCTGTAGAGCCAATGGCTGGGTGCGGGGTGATTCTATCTTCGCTTAACAATCAATCAGACAATCACCATCACTGATTCGATTTAGAGAAAAAGTCATGAGATTTTTAATAAAACTAGGTGAAACCCGTCGAAATCGACGGTTTGGGCCCCTCGTTCATACAGTCGTGTGACTTCATTGGCAACAAATAATGCAAATGAAATAGCAATGTGGCATATCCAAAGAGAAAAAGACATACTGTAAATTGGCTGTTACGTAAATATTGACGTTTACATTCATGGTTAAACACCGTATCCTATAAAATATGATGTGATCTAGTTTAAAAGGAATATGCCCTTTCCGTAATGACAGTAGCTGCTTATATAGTATTTTCTCATTGGGCCATTTTTTACAGCCAAAATGTCGTGTTATTCTCAATAATGTTACCAACCCAGTGGGCCACGGTCCTTAATATAGGTCACTGCAAATTATATGTTAAGATATGTACCATTTTAGGCAAGGTTTCTGTGTTTGGATGCTATTAGACACGGTAAGAGCACAAAAAAATTCTTCTGCAGATGAATTAGTTGTTGGAGAAATATAAGCCGAATTATAAATGTCACAATGCGAGTTTGAGCATTTTGTTTTTTTTAAGCTGCTTAGTGCACTTTAATAATATATTTTTTAAGATATAAATTAAATGGTTTTTGTTACTGAGTAGGGCTAGTAAACATGCAGAACCCTATTCGTTAGTCTAATAACATTCAAAGGCTCTCTAAGAGTTCAAGTTCTTATTTGTACATACATATCTATATCACGTTTTCACTAAGCTGAATGAATACATCGAAGTAACTTTTTTTTAAAGTCTACAGTATATTGCAGTTTTCCAGCTTAATGGCTTTCTAAATCATGCACATATTTCTACATAAATATTGTAAAATGTTTTATCCAGTTGCTGCTTAAAACTGTTTAAAAGCAACTGTTTAAAACTACTTTTAATCTAACAAAATATGTACACGGCTCAAATGGGCATCATGCCCTTCTGCAATAATCGTATTATTTTGTATTGTACTACACAATCTAAGATTTATCCAATGATTGAAAACATGTATGACAATAATCTCATGAACCTAATTAAATATAATACTCATAAATAATAATAATAACCTGATCTGTCTAGAAAAATATGATAAAATATAGGCAAAATTGGTGAAAAGGCAGACACCAGCCCGTAAAATAGATATAAGATAGTTCAATAAGAAATAACTGTAAGAGTTACTGTGATAAAATTATTTAAAATCAGAAAACAACATTGCAAATACTTCTTTTGGACAATTCAGTAACTACCAATAAAAAATACAATTTTAAAATGAACAGCTGTTTTATTAAAAAGTATTATCCACGTGACCAAAATGTAAACAAATCTGTGGAGGGATCTTTAAAGGCTTCTGGGGCAGAGCACTAAGCGAATTCACTTCATTTTTCTTTTGATAACTCATCTACAGACCAAGACCTTTCTTTGGATACCTCTACCAAGTTTCTACGCCCAGCCGTTCTCTCAAATTAGTGGAGACAAAGATTCCAATTAAATATTTAGATTCCCCCATGTTAACCTTATGGGAGAAAACCCAACTTTGATGGAAGATCCTGCCCAAACTAATAAAGATATCAAAATACGAAAAACACTTTGCAAAACTACAGATCAGGGCCATTTTTTTGACGCCTTAAGAATTAAAATCGGTCCAAAAATGTGGGAGGAGTTCTGTTCACAAAAATCGGCTTAGCGTATTATATATATAGATTCCAAACTGGACCCAGCTGTCCTTGATCATTGGGCTTTTAATAAATGGTCCTGGATGAACAACAGCTGATCATAGCAAAATTGGTTACTTACAAAGCTATACACAGGTCACCTCACTCCATTACACACTCACCATGCATACACATTCATATTAAAATGTAGGTACACAAAGTATTTGATAAATTGAACAAGTGGGCCTAATTTATGTGTTGAATGTGTTTGTTGTTGTACTGATTTCTCTTTTCCAGGTAATGATGAATCAGGGGTAACAGAGCGAGATAATGAACAAGAGGGAGTTTCAAGAGTATCCTACAAGCAGTATATGAAGGAATGGAAAGATAATGAACAATATCGCAGACAAAGCGCCAGAGTGGTACAAGCTAAGACCAATTCTGACACATCAGTGAAGGCAGCTCAAGGTACTATCAACCTTATTATCCAAAGAAACTAAAGCTTATAAATTAAGTAAGTTTTAAATGTTAGTTGAATACACCTAAAAAATGTACACTTTTAACAGCTTAATGAAAAAAAGGTACAGTACTACATATACAACTTTCAAAGTTCATCTGGAAAAGATAAGCACTCTCTCTATATACAGTCGATCTACTGGCTTGAAATCCAAACTTACAAAAATCGGGAAATGTTAATTGTTTCAAAATCATTCAATGGTGAATTATTTTGATTTAAGTGTAAAACTAAATTGACAGTAACAACACATTTGCATATGATTCCAGAATCTGTCAGTGTCAGCTGGAGTGAAGAAAGGAAAGAACCAATGTGAGTAAAATGTTGTTACCACCAGCTATTTGAACCAGGGCCGTCCGAAGGGGGGGGGGGCAACAGGGCAAGCTGCCCTGGGCGCCGTGGCTTAGGGGGCACCGGACAGCGGCTATTTCTATTAACATAGTATTAAAATAATATGTGAATGTGACTATTACTGGGGGGGGGAGGGGGCGCCAAGAAAACGTTTGCTCCGGGCGCCACCAACCCTAGGGACGGCCCTGATTTGAACTATTGATGTAGTAAATTAAAAACATTTTTGAACTATTGAATATTTTTTATGGTAGTGCTAACTGATTGATTTGTGGGAAAGTGGAATGAATCTCAAAAAATCTGATAATGATATAATGATTTAATGATGATGCAAAAAGGCAGCCCCTTTCGAATGTTGGACTGACTTGTTACCACTTAGATTGAAGAGTTTTTTTGGGTAGAGTTCTTCTAGCTTGTCTGAGAAAATTTAATAGTCCAAGGGCTTATAATTGATACATAAAAGATCAAATAACACTGTTTTAAGTCCAGAGAGTAGAATTGTGAGAAAAGATAGCATTTATGCGACTTTTTATTGTGTATCTAAGATTCTGATAAAAGTAGGCTACCTATTTTTGTTTGATGTTTTTTGAATACTTGTGTATGGTTAATAAGATAGGCTATAAAATATCAACAACCCCAGAGCAAAATAGTTTTCTGTTTCCATTCAGTTAGCTATTCTCAAGAGACACTTGACTCACTTGATTGCATTTTTTTTTTTTTTGTAAATAAATAATATTGACTAAATAAATACTATAAATAACATAATCACAAGCACATTTAAGTTACGTAGTTAAATATCTCAAGAACAAGGGTTTACTTCCTTGACTGGTTGTGTGCTTTCACCAGTGTTGGAGAAGAAACCCATTTAAGCTTTGATGACATCATTGCTATGATCAAGGAGGGACGTTTTAAAAAGATAGTGACGGTGGTCGGAACTGCTTTCTCCGCCAGTGCCGGGATACCCAACTACCGATCTCCACAGTCTCATCTTTATCACAGGCTTTTCAACAGAAATGTGTACAGACCAGAAGATTTGTTTCATAAAGAAAACTACGAACTGGTTCCTCATAGATTTATAGACCTGTTTAAAGACCTTCTCCCTGAGCAGTACAAACCGACTTTGTCTCATTATTTTATTAAACTCCTGGAGACCAAGGGAATGTTGCTGCGGCATTACACACAGAACGTTGACAGCTTAGACATGATGGCTGGAGTCTCTCAGGAGAAATTGGTAGAGGCTAACGGATCCTTTAGAATACAACACTGTATGCTGTGTCGAGTGAGGTACTACTACAGCTGGTGGAGGGAGCTCATCCTCGCTAACACAATCCCCAGGTGTAAACAGTGCATGTGGTACGTGCTGCCAGACGTTGTCTTCTTGGGAGAACTGCTGCCATCACACTTCTTCGCCAAAATTGAGGCTGATTACCGTGTAGCTGACCTCCTTATCATCATGGGAACTCCTCTGAATGTTCTACCTTTCGCTCATTTCTACAACTACTTCGAAAACTGCCCCCGGCTGGTGATCAACCGGGAAAACATAGACAAAGAGTATGTCTACATGCAATATTTTGGAAATGCCCAACGTACGAGGAAAGTAGATTTTGATCCGGTTAAGAACTCCAAAGATGTTCTGTGGATTAGTGAGTGTGATGAGGCAACTAAACTTATGGCAGATAAGCTGGGATGGACTGACGAACTGTATTCTCTAATGGAAGAGGGTCATAAGAAGTTGGAAGGGAAAATTGATGTGTTCGATGAGAAACAGAAAACTTCAACTGTTGGAAAATTGCCTGATAAACAAACAAAATAATAAATGTACAACAGACTACTATATTTTTGCATCTTAAAATTCATGCAGCACCTACTAGTTTTAATAATTTATCAACCAATGAATGAACTAAGCATATGAGTAATTAATATACAGCAGGGAATTTATTTTGCTAACTGATTAATAAATAATTGACATATTATTAAAGGACCATTAAAATAATAGTTTAGTGAACTGTGTTCTTAGTCACACAGCCCAATTTAAACTTTTTCACCTTTTCCATAAAAAAATGTATTTGGGTGCAAAACCATAGATGAACTAATAGTTTATCTATCATAAAAGACTATGTTTTTTATGAACAACCTTTTTACTCACAGTGAAATATTACACTTATTTCTGAAGATGAGGTTGTCATACATAAATAAATATTAAAGCATAGATCTATTGTGATTCTGCATTAACTTAGTTTAGATAAACCATAACATTATTGACATGTCAAAAGTTATGAATTGAGCCTACTGATTTCTTGAAGGAATATTTTCATATACAGGGTGATTGCTCCCGTGTGCAGCAAAGTGCCACTTTGCCTGCTAGTTACACAAATAACTATTTAGACTTAACTACAATTTTTAAATAAAAAATCCCTGGCACTTACCACTTAACTTTTTTTAATATCTCTTATAGTTTCCGAATAAAACAGCTGGCACACTTATATCAATCACCCTGTATATGCTTCTCTCAGAGTTATATGTATACCTTCTTCAGAAAATCTTGAATCCAATACAATAAAAACAACATTGTTAAAATGAATCATAATATATATCAATACATAAAAACTTAAATAATTATATATATTTTTTTTATCAACACAATGGTTCAACGTAACTACTACAAAAGTCAATGCTGATATTAACTATGTATAACTATTAACTTTTCGCATAAAAGTATAAACAAATGTTTGAATCCCCAAATTGTATTTTTTACTGGTTATAACACAGATTGTTTAAAAGTGTTTAACATCATTGTTTGAACTATTTTTTACAGCAAAGCTTCACAGTTTGCTACGTCCAGTAAACCTAATTATGGTAAGTGTTAAGAAAATTTGTTAAATTTATTTTTAATATATACGAGCTGTTGGCCCGTCCTACGTACGGGAATCGAGTAGTCATTAGTCAATTAAAACGGAATAGTTCAGAACATCTAGTTTACACGCACAATGACAAATTCTGGCAGTTTTAATGCCAGTTGTTTTTAACAACCTAATTAACAATTAATTGTTATTTTTTAGTTGTTGACCTTATTAACAAATGTCACGTGACTACCTATTTCTTCCGTCCGATTATAGACCTAAAATATAGTGATATGCATTTTAAATTCGATAATTTTACCATAAAATAGCAGTTGCGTCGATTTGAAAAGAATTAAAGTGAGATTGGAGACCGTTTCACACACACTGGTATTGAGTAGAGTTGCTACCATTGCATATACCACTTATATATGTACTTACCGCACCTTTACCTCCGTGACCACAGACTGACACCTTATGAGGATTCTGGCCACCCATTCTCTTCCATCCCCTGTCTCTTCTAATTTAGATCCCGGTCTGAGGATGTATTTCATAACTTAGTCTTTCCACTTAATTCATGGTCTTCTAAGTGGTCTTTTATCTTGTGGTACTATGGAATATACTTTTAAAAGTTGATTTATCTCCTATCCACCACGCATAGCCTGCCCATCCAAGCCTTTTACTTCTGGAAAGCACCCCTATATCTGGGTGTTTACACATTTCTCTTAGCTCTCTGTTTGTTTTTATCTCGACCTCCGTTATCTTGAACTGGTCTGTATATTTTTTCTGCACTTTTCAATACTACGGGGAGAGTATGGTATGGTATGAGTCGACTTTGATTTCTACTGCACCTTGCAGCTCATTGGACAGTTTTATAGAGACCTACTACACCAATTGACGCTTTCATTACTAACCAAAATTATAGTATGACTCACATACATTCGGACATACAGGAAAAGAAGTATCAACACGTAAACCACTTATATCTTAAACGATTAAGCAATAAATTTCTGAAAAAAAAGATTTCCCAAATATGAGATGAAATTTCTATGGCATAAACTAAATAACTTACTTACACAGTTTGCATTTACGACAAAACTTGATTAAACTGTTTGAGATGTATAGATCAAAATAACACATTTCCTGATAAAGCAGATCCTTCACGGTAGAAAAAAAAACTAAATGTTAAAGTGAAATATTATGCAGGCCAACACCGAAGAACAATATTTTTGTATACAAACAACTTGTTATATAAACATTTCAATGACAGTTTATAACCAGCTGTTAGTTTAACCAGCACTGAAAATACTTTGAATTGCTAGCGTCGGCTGCTAGAATTTTTAAAAATTGAAACTTAATTTCTAAAAAACTGAAACCCTAAATTAAAATTATGGCTTTGACATTCCCTAGTTCTCAAAATTATCTTTCTTTCAATACAAAAACCATGAAAATCGGTCAAGTGGTTGATTCAGAATCGTGAAATAAAAAACCCTGTTTCGTTTTAATATTTATATTAATATTAATATTAATATTTAATAATGTTATGTTTAATTTATTAATGTTTATATTAATATTTAATATCTATAGATTTTCTTGTAGCCTATAATTTGTGTTTTCTTGTGTTTAAACATAGATCAAACATACTCCTTAAATAGATTTCTCATCCTTATGGAACAGCTGAAGCCAATTTTATTGTTAGTTCTGTTGTCCACTGTAGAGGTTGTGTTTTGTTTACAATCTGTTCCTTTTCAGTAATTTTAAAACTCTTTTAGCCAAATAAAACAATCTAATCATAAGCAATAACTCGTCCTCTAGTTATATGACTAAACAGTAGCCTATAGCACAAATCATGAAATTAAACCTAAGATAATATAAATAAAATTGTGTCAACACTAGCGGCTGTAACCGGACATGAACTAGACCAAAACGAGCTTCAAAATTTACAATGGAATAAAAAAAGTCTACCTACTTATGTTGGTCTATGGTTTAACTTAACTTTTAGCTTTAAAAATTGGCAAACACTAAGAAAAGTTCTGAAAATGTGAAATAAAAAATAATTTAAACTGAATATCAATTAGAGTTCAATAGAAATGTGATTTTTATTTATTTGTTTTTTCTTTTAACTGTTTCTCTTAATTATGTGTTCCTAAATTGTTTATGACCAGCTTACCAGGCTCAAAAGTACGAGGTATCAGCTTCCAATGACGGGTTTGGGATATCTCAATCACACCAACGTGTAGAAGAAGGTAAGCTTTTGTATTTACTTTGGAAAAACATTTACCTAATACAATCACTTGGTTAATCATTTAGCAAAGTTGATATGATCATCTATATATAATATCAAAAGTACCCATGAACTTTTGAGAAAACTACAAGTTACAGCCCCATAGATAAACCATATACTTAAAATGTTCGTCATGACGAGAAACCTTGAGCAAAACTACTCCGTTCAAACAGCCGTGGCACCTGACGGATTAGGAGACCCCATGGAAACCCTTGGGGCATCCTAATCCCTCAGGTGCCACGGCTGTTTGAACGGAGTATACCGGTATCCATTTTCATAAATTTCCCTTTAAGGTCATAATTGCTTTCCAAAGGGAACTTTCCATATACTTAATGTTAGAAATACCTCAGCTGTTCTCATTTGTATGTTATTCTTTAGATTTATTACCTTACTAGCAGAGTACCCGTCCTTCGTACGGGGTTGGCGTATAAATATACAAAATGCTTAATGCAGTTATACTTGGCTTTGCGTTTGCAATGGGAGAGGACTTGGTTTAAGAAAATTTGGTTCTTTTAATTTACGGTATGCTGTAGTATAGCACATCTATCATAGCCTTAATGATTAAAATTTGGTGTAAATTATTTGTTTGTAATGCTGTATTCTGTTTTGTTTATTTCAGCTTAACTTAACCAATCAATAGTTTTATTAATACGAAGCCTGTGGGTAACAGCTAGTTTCCTTAATACTGTTTTTGTGGGTAGAATAATTCTACAGTATAATAAGTACAGTATTTGACATAGAATACCTACATTTGTATTTTTTTAAATTTTAAAATGATTTTGATGTTCATTACAAATTATTATTTTGTATTATCAACTGAATGTGTTTTATAAAAGAGCTAATATTTTTTTATTTAGCAAAATCACTATTATGCTATGAACCTTATACTAACTCACAGTTTTCGTGTCACTTGTTATCTAAATGGATTTCACACTCTTATCAATTGATAATTTATTTTAATAGAGCTCAAATTTATCACGATCTATGATTTGGGATAATGTTCAGTAAGTAAATGTAGTTAGTGTGGCATAGATTGCCTGAAAAATATTTTCAAAACTATTTTTTAAACATATTGAAGTAAAAAATTTGAAATAACAGCAGCAGCAGTAACATGAGTTACTCATCACAAAATACACAGCCAACATTTTAACATAATATCCTATTCTTTTATGCCTAATAATAGTAGGCTTAGCATGCATACAAAAATAAGTAAAAATAAAACATTTATTTGCAGTTCAGATTCAGATAAATTACAAAATTTTCAATAAACAACGTCACAAACCCATAATAAAGTAACAAATTTATGTAAAATCTTAATAAGTGATAAAAAAGTAAGCTTATGTATAATTCTCTTCGTGATTTTTTACTGAAGCAATTTTTATTAGTCATTAAAACTGAATATATTAGGTGGTGTCTGAACACCTTCCAATTAAGGTGGTGTATTTGAAAAAAACGCAAGAGCAACAATGCAGGTGTTTAGCCAAAAATACTATTAAAATGCTATTAATCATCACGCCGAACCTTTGGGGAATGTACATAACAAGGATCCTTATGGGGTATGCTATTTGGGATACTGTACTTTGGACTCTTGAAGAGACTGAGTTTTCAGCGATTTGCCAAATAGCTCTTAAGAGAGCACAACACTGAACCTCCAACTCCAAATCACATTTTTCAAGTTTTAAGTTAATGATATAACATAGGTAGGGATGTGAACACAGTCAATAAAAATACCATAATTATCAATATACAGAAAATGGTAGGCCTACATATATTCAAACTACATAATATACCAAGACATAAGACCCAGCGAACGCTACCGTAGTAGGCTACATATAGGACTAGGACCACAGTGACTGCAGGCGGTAATACATTTATTCATTCTTAAATAGACATCTTAAGGACAAAAGATTTTTTTTGCGAATTGTTACCTTCCTCCTTATTTTCTCTCCCCGAAAACATTTAACCTTTTAACGACCGTCCTATACGCTGTTTTCACTTTAGGTACTGTATGTCCGCCCTCTCCTCTGTATAATATAAGGTTGCATGAATTCAGAAATATATAACATCACTCGAGAAGTAAGGAAGTTGTATATTGGGATAGGGAAGTTTAACATGAATATTAGTATTATTAACAGTAATAGCTATTTACATTACAAGTGTAGTAAGAGCGTTTTTACTTCACGCAGGTGAATGTTGTGCAACGTGCGGAAGCGAGTTGCATAATTCACCTAAGTGATGTAAACACGCTCGTGCGTAACGTATAACGTACAAGATTTTACCTGACCCGACAATATACATGGGTTTAACGTACAATATTTTTCATTATCCATTTCACTCATCTTCTATCAGTAACTTTCTTTTACTAACAAAAGCTAGGTTAAGGTTAGGTAGGAAGCACAATTTGTTTTTCAGGATTAATTTTGCCAACAGTGTCATTTAGAGGCTTCTGATTGACTATAATGAAGGTTTACTAATTGAAAAATTAGTTTTGTTCATAGAATAAAATTATAAATGCCTCAAATTCGATTTTATATTTTTTTATTGTGAAATTAAATCGTCATAACCTAACCAAACCAACCAAACGTGCTGACAATGAAAAAATCTAATGAAGGTTTATTAATCGAAAAAATAGTTGTGTTCATAAAATAAAATTATAAATGCCTCAAATCCTATTTTATAATAAATTTTAATTAAAAAATTAAACCATTATAACCTAACCAAACCAACCAAACGTGTTGATAATGAAAAAGTCCAATACAAAAAAAAGTGCTACGGGTGGGATTCGAAACCAGATTCTTCGGATTATCAGCCCAGCACTCTATCCACTACACCACCGAGGCCGTTGTCGTCGATCCGTATCGTTGCGGTAATGATGTTCCCTCAGCCAATCAGAAGCCTCAAAATAATACTGTAGGCAACACTAAACCTGAAATAAAAATTCAGCAGGTAGGAAAATACTTTAAAGCATAACATAAACAATAACATTCAAGCGCACAGCTGATTTTTAGCGTTGAACGTCGTTGGCTCCATAGAGTTATATTTTTTAAGTTAAGCACTCAATGTTATTTAAATGGGTTTCTTTACATCACCGAGTGAGTTTTTGATACTTTACATCACTCGAGAAGTAAGGAAGTTGTATACATCACGCTTGGGATAGCGAAGTTTAACATGGCGGGTTAGGTAAAGTAATATATTGTCTGTGCCTAAAGCGTATAGCGTATAGGTAGACGCTTGTTGGGCCTGATCACAGAAAACGTACTACTATAACCGTTATAAGGTTATAGTAGTACGTTTTCTGTGGCCTGAGTCCAGTGAACAAACTTGTGGAGGGGCCGCTCGTTCTTATCGCCACCAAAAATGATGATGAAATTTTGTGTACAACTAAATAATATTAATTGCTCTAAAACATTTATTGTACAGAATTAAGATTTGTTGTTCGTAAAATCACTAAGTAACAATATCACGAGAATTTAGTTTTCTGTTATACAATTTTTTTTTAAGTATAGGTCTACTGTAAAACTAAATTCAACTTAATAACTTTCGCCATCCCTCTGAACATGGGGCACCGGTCTACTCAACCTTATTAAAAATGTGGAATATAAGAAGCGATTAAGAACCGGATAAGAACGATTAAAAATTAGCATTAATCCCTAGGCTGTTGCAGTAGCCTAAACCTGTAAATGATAAAAGAAGTATCGTTAATGTGATAACAACGCTGCCTCACAATCAAACTTTTTAAACTTTCCTTGTTTAATTTATTGATAACAACGCATACGTAGCGCATAGGTGACTAATAGCTTACTGTCTTGGAATATCTAGTGGTAATTCAATAACTTTGCCATTATTCGGTAGTTTTTCGTATCTAATCCGTGCGGGATTGACTTAATTCATGGTACGGTATTTCCAATATCTAACGGTAACCTACTAATGCAAAGCATAATTGATTAATGAATAAATCAGTGCATACTCTAATGATTAACTAGGAGCATTTGTAAGATTTTATAGTATATAAGGTGTTGCAAAATCTAAGTACAATATATTAAAAAACTAGAAATTTTTTATTATTAAAAACCAATTATCTCTTTAATCTTTATTTGCATGTTAAATATCCTTAACTATAAATAAACTTGACCATTTAGCATAAATCCACATAGTTTGGTAATTACTTATAACCAATGCATAAACGTAGTAGACAGTGTACACATTGGATTCTAACTTGCTGTAAAACCTAGACAGCTGATTTGTATTTGTTACTGATCCTTCTTCTTGTTATGTTTTTTTTTCTATTTATTTGTATGATTAAAATTATTTGGTAGGGTTTTTATTCAAACGATTGGAAATTGTTTTTGATATATGATTTCTCGTAACCTGCATAAATTTCATGTCCCTTGGTTGGGCAATTTTATCCAGAAGTAGAGTTATGTTAAAAAAGAAGATCCAGTAGATATTATTGGAAGATTATTACTAAACTCATTTTATTAAGGAACTAAAAATGATAAAACGGTAACAACAAGAAACTCCAAGTAAATCATAACAACTGGTTCAGCCAATCAATCAACTAGCTGCACACTGGACCTGAGGCATTTCTGACTCACTTTCTTGTCCTCTGGGTGCTCGTCTTCTAGATTCGGAGGCCATGACCATATCACTCAGAAGACACTCTTCAGCATTTTCAGGGACGTCTTGCTGAGGCCTTGGTGGTAAACACTGCTCCAGTTGCGCCATCACAGTAGGTGGAAGCACAGATGGAAAATTTACACTAAACTGAACAATAAGTTTGCCTTTCTCGGACGAATTACGATATTGAGGCATCCCCTCCCCTATAATGCACTTGATATCCCCATGTTTTACTACTTCCCCTGGAATGACAGTGATCAGAAGATTCCTGTCGTCTAGAGTTCGGATCACCTTTTGGAACCCACATAAGGATTCTACCAACTCAATTTCCATTCGAAAGATCAA